GTATAGCAAAGGTTATGGATGGTGGAATATGTTATGTTAGAAGCAACGAATTGTTATTTATTTTGCTCGACGCAGCATTTTCATGTTGAAGGTAATCAGGTACTGTCATGATTTTATTAAGACAGTCATAGCATCTTTCGAATTCAGTGTCTTATAACCTACTTGAATATGTTGTAAGGCCAAAGTAGAAATTAGTTGAAAATTGAGGACTAAAATTAAATGTTCGTTGGTTCTGTTTCAAGTTTAAGGATTGTTTTGATGGTCAAGATGAAGTCAGATGGGTTAAACAAAAGCATCCTTGCTAAGGCAAGAAATGGCGAATGTAATTGCTAACACATGTTAGTCAGTATATGGGTTAAAGAGTTGATAAAGGAAATGAATCAGGTCTTACAATCTTCAATAAATATATGGATCATTGTTTGAGTATCTTTATTTCCAACTGTCGCGTTTTCCACTCATTGACAAGTTAATTTGTTCTTGATATCTTTCTCAAAGATATATAATAGACCTAATTAAAAAAGTGGCGATTGACTACACAAAAACAACAACAAGTACCAAACAACATCCAGAGAAAAATAAGATTTGCTGAAATAAGAAAACCTCTATAATAAGAAAAAATTAACTCATTAAATAGTAATCAAGATCTAAAAAACAATATCTACATTGTTTTGTTAATGAAATATTGAACAATTTATATTTAATCATGTGGCAAGAAGTAAATATTTGTTAGAAGAAGCAGTAAAATTTTAACAAAATCCAAGAAATTACCCATTTACATATTATTAAACGTTTGTTTTTCAATAAAATATTATATTTATATTTTTATTTGTTTGCAAAAATTACAGTCGGCCGAAGTATCATATAATTTTATCATTAAAAAACAGTAAATTGAATAAATTTATGATAAGTATTCATAAATAGATAATATTTAGTTCCATTTTCGTTATGTGACTAACTTTAAAAAAACTTAATATGTTAATGTATGGGCCTTCTTCTTCTTGTTAGTTCTTAGAAGTTAAGATTTCGATGTCCAAGTTGTTCTCTACTAAAGTTTACATATAGATGGGGTACAGACAGAGGTTAGTGCTGATGTTGATTAATACTTGAAACTACTGGTGACCTCTGCTAATTTAATTCGTACTATCCGCAGATGGATGAAAATGTCGGTACGATGTTGAAATAATTTATATTTGATATTTACTTAATATTTATATCAAGTTATCAAACTGCATCAATAACATCTTCAATTATAACTCTTTTGGTGATGAATAAGTCAGTGAATTTGACAGGTTCAATCAGTAGAAGATCATCTTATCCCTCTTCTCACAACGAGAATCATAAAAGGCTTATCTATGCGACCGAAGCAATATTTTGTTTGAACTGAGAATTACAAATGATACATAGAAACAGAAGTGCATCGTTAAGATTGATTTATAATTAATTAAAAAAACAAGAATAATTTGGTGTCAAGTTTTCATTTTTCGTTTGTGTTTCTTAAACACTCCTGGTACACTGCAATTAAGAAATATATATTTTTTGTATTGTTACATTGCATGTTTACAATCTACTCTATACACAGAGTTAATAGTTTGTAAGTAAATTAACGTGAGTTATGTACCATATCACCGACGGTTCTCTAGGTATTATTGCGGTAGGTCTTCTCTTCAATCTTCAATCTTCTTTTGGCAAGTGGTTGGGTGAATAAATTATTTATCAGTTTGTTATTGTGATCAGTGGTGCGATTTTTGTGATCATTGTGAAGTGTTTGGTTAGATACATACCATGGAGCTTTACTTATCATACGGTATTTTGGATTGGAATGTTTAAAGTATCTTCGTATTTGAAGACTGCAGTCCCATAGTTCTATTTCATATGTCCAAACTATAGTGTATTTTTATGTATGAGAGAGTGATAAAACAATAAATTATGTATGCAAATCCCTAAACTGTTGATACGGGTGACTCAATAAAAAACAGATATTTGTCAACAAGTTTACAGAAGTATATAGGAAAACAATTTTAAATTGAGTAGGACCACCAGGTATAAAGGTTGGAGCAGAATAGAATACAATAGTTGTGAGGGTTACTAATCCCTAAATAAGGTTGCCAGTGTCAGAGTAATGGAGGTTAAAAGGTACTAATGAATTTGCAAGAAATGTAAGATGTTTATTTTATTGGTTATATATAACCAATAAAAGTTTAATAAGTACTTACCTATTTGCAAAATAAAGTTTAATTCTTTAGATAAAATAAAACGTTTTATTTTATCTGAAATGAGTGCATTCCACGAAGTAAGGGTTTCAACAATCAAACATTTAATTCTTTAATTCCAGGAATCTACGACAGTAATTGACTAGATAATTACCTTCTAAACTTATTCCACAGAAAATGTGATAGTGGGTTTTTCCATTTTGTAGGAAGGTCCAAGTGGCGTATTCAAAATTCTTAGCAGTTCACTAAAAGTAGGTACTTCAGTTGCAAGGTGCAGTTTATTGTGTATACTAGTGTTATGGAAAATTTGGAAGTGCCGTGTAAACGCCGAAAAATTGGTCCTTTAACAGTTAATGAAAAAACATTAATATTTAATTGTTTTAAATCATCTACAGACAAACTTTTATGTGAAAGTGTTGATGAGACCGTTGAGTTAGTTAGCAGTACACTTGGTGTTGGGAAATCTACGATTTACAGAGTTATTAAAGAAGAGAAATGTGGTAGTTTTCAAATGCCACGTAATGCTCCAGGGAAACCAAAATTTCAAATAGAATATCATTTTAAAGAAGGACTTTGACGGAAAGTGCATGAATTCTTGTTTAGACAAGAATTTTCAACATTGGATAAAGTTCTTGTCTCAGTTCGAGATGATAAGGATTACCCAGAAATGAGTCGAAGTACGTTATGGAAACTTTTAAAAGAAATAGGCTTCCGCTGGAAAAAGAATCCCAGAAAGTCTATTTTATTAGAAAGAAGCGATATTGTCATATGGAGAAGACATTTTCTAAGAACCATAAAGGAAATGAGAAAACAAAAAAAGAAAAATATTTTATCTTGATGAAACATGGATCAACGAGGGTCATACACCAAATGAATTTTGGCAGGATGAAACTGTTACAAGTCAAAGGCACGCTTTTGTAAATAACTTCTCTACTGGTTTAAAACCCACCATCAGGAAAGGGACGCAGGCTGATAATAGTATACATTGGCAGTTCAGACGGTTTTGTTGAAGGTGGTTTATTAACTTTTGAATCAACTCGTACCGGTGACTACCATGAAGACATGAACGCTGATGTCTTTCAAGAATGGTTCGAACAAATGATAGATCTTCTTCCTAAGAACTGTGTAATAGTAATGGATAATGCAAGTTATCACTCCAGACTTATAGAAGGACTGTCCACAACCAAGTGGTTAAAAAAAAGACTTGCAGAATTGGCTGAGTTCAAAAAATATTACGTACCATCCCGGATCTATAAGAAAGGAACTTTATTCGTTGTGTGCCCTTCATAAAGAAAAATTTTAAAAATACGAAATTGATGAAATTGCCAAAAATCGTGGAATGACAGTACTTAGATCCCCACCATATCATTGTGAATTAAACCCGATGAACTGGTATGGGCACAGATAAAGAGTGAAGTTTCAAGAAAAAATACCACTTTTAAAATTCATGATGTTAAACAGTTGTTTTTGGAGGCCGTAAATAATGTAAAACCTGAAAACTGGGAAAAGGCAGTAAATCACACTATTAAAGAAGAGGAAAAAAATGTGGAAGCTGGACAATATTACTGATAAAATGATCGAGCCAGTTATTATTAATCTTGGTTTTGAAAATTCATCTTCTGAATCTGATTTGGATTTGTAACAAGTAGCTGTAAGTTTTATATTAATATTTTTATTCATCTATTTAACATACCTTAGACGGTTTTAAAAACTCTTTTTCTCTTTTGTAATTTTTAAAAATTAAAAAAAATGTGAATTTTTCAAAACCCTTTTTAATGTAGGCCAGTCAGTTCTAATATAGTGTGTGATAAAAGAGGTCACTTTTGTTTACATACACATAACACTTTATAACACTGAAATAATTCATTTATTTTTTACAATTATTCAAAGTAATTTTTTCAATTAATCTTGAGCACGCCCATGGAGTGGTCGGAGGTACCAGTTAAAATTATGCTAATTACTCTCTCGTTCATAAAAATAAACTATAGTATAAGTATAAGTTTGTACAGAAGCAGTTTATTTTCAAGAGATAACTAGACCTTAGAATTTGTTATTGTCGGTTGTTTAAATTGTTTGTAGCTTTTCATATAGAGTGATCTTCATGTGAGAGGTTAGAAACTTAAAACTGGAAGGAAACTTTTTTTCTTTATGTAATGCTCTATTTAGTCTACGATTTATCCTGTTAAAGTACGTTTTACTTAGTGGATTTCTTGTTTTTTTGCCATACACGCCGAGCTCTTCTTTTTACTGCTACAAGTTAAAGATTACAGAAAACCGTAACTTATAAATACTCCAAATCACTAAGTATATTGCTATAAACTTGGACATCGTGAGTAAAGCCTAATAATCCATACTAGAACATAATATTTTGCTATAGAATATACCATTCCCTCCGCTGAATATTTTAGAGTTCCTTAATTTCCCTGCATAAAAAAACAACAGTTTCGGCCGATAGATCTTGGATGGGTGAAATTTCAATATACGACAGATTAATCAGACTATTAGACCAAATCAATCGAGGCTAAGTATTAGTTCACGTAAAGTATAACAAATGATTAATACAAAGACTCAATTTTTTGCTTGTTTATAAACTTTACACAGTGTTACGTGATAAAATATAAATAAATATTTATAGGTACTCGTATATTATACGACTTATTGGTAAACATGTCAATAAATAAAAATCACATACTCTAGTTTTAAAATTAGTAGAGGACTACGCTTTGAAGCTAGACATGCTAATGGAGATGATTACTCTCAAATAGATTATTTCGTTACAAGAAGATATACATGAATGTAAGAATTGCAAGGTAATAATTAGTGCAACAGAAAGCTAACAACATAAGTTGCTTGTGCTGTAAATCGAAGGAAAAATCAAAATATCGGAAAGAACTACAAAAAATTAAGTGATGGATGTCAAAAAACGGGAGAGAATATCTATTCAGGGCAAAATCGTAGAAAAAAATTATTATAACATGAAAAGTGCTAGTACAATTTTTAGGAATATGACCAGTAACTAAAACGTACTGCTACTTGATACTCGAAGAAAGATGTTTAAGAAAAACGAAAAGTTTTATTTAAAATCCTTTATAAAAAGTATATAATTAAAAAACCCTTTCGGGCTACGCCACAGAACCGTTTTTGGACTAAAAAGTCCATCATCAGTGTATTACTAGGTGTAATGGTAAAACAAATATGTCGCAAAAAAAGTACTAATCCGGATAATGATCGAATGGAACTCAATTATAATGTACGACGTATGTTTTTAGAGGAACAGCAAATTTCTTTGTGTGATCACATCAAAATTTAAAGCAAAATGAGCAACGGATTAACAACCATTCAAGCACGACAGGTAGCAAATGATATGGGGATTAAAAACCATATTCCAGTTTCAGCAAATTATCAAGGATAAAATAGCTAAACTACAATGGTTCCTTTCATATCCGTAACATATTACCTTGTTAAACTGGCAAAGGATAATGTTGTAATCATACCTATTCTTCCTCCTCATTGTAGTAACAAACTGCAACCCCTAATTGTTTCAATTTAAGCTCCCTTTAAATCATATTACAATGCCGCTATATGGTTGCTGAGCCATTCTGGTAAACTTCTTTCAATATACCAGATAGCACAATAAGTAGGAGAGGCACATATCAAAACATTAACACCTACTAATATTCTGTCAGGTTTTAATAAAACAGGATTTTTTTCCCTTAAAAAAGATATTTTTTTGAAGCTGACTTCATTGGAAGTTTTGTGACTGATAGATCAAATAAAAATAAAAAGTAAAATCAACAACCAGAGTCGATAGGAATGTCTATTGTGGTTTCCAATCATTGAAGACACTTAAAAATCAAGTAGTATCCCTACCAAAGACATCTGAAAAACCAATAATGTCTTAAAACTCAAGTCAATGGTACCATCTGCGAATTAAAGTTTTCATCTCACTTCACGAAGTGATAGCACTTCATCTGAGGAGAGTGAAGAACTAAGCAATTATGATGATTTTACTGGCAATGAATTTGAAAATTTACAGTTGGAAGACAATTATGGCATTGATGCTAGTACAATGCTTGGGACATATAATGAGAAATCAAGGCAGACATGAGCTACTCCAATGCATTTTGCAAGGTAAAATTGAAGAAAGAAGGACCCCAGGACGAAGAAGAATATCCTGGCTTGCTGAGAGCATGGTATAAAAAGATCTCAACACAGCTTTTTCGTACAGTAACCAACGAATTCATCATAGTCAGAATGATCGCCAACGTTCGGAACGAACAGGCACCCTAATAAGAAGAATATTGACTAACCTAACCTAACCTAAGAAAAAGAATATTGAGCAAAGAATCATATTGATGACTGGTTAACTCAGTTTGTAGACAAATTTAAAAAATGCTAATGTCAGAAATAAAAATGTATTTTTTGTGTCACTGTGTACTACCATTTTCTAACCTCATAGATATTTTTACAAAAATCTAAGTTCCGGTTCGGTAGATTTAATCCTAAAGATATTCCGACTGTTTAGGTTCGTAAAGGTTTACTCATGGTTCCAATACAGCCGAACAAGTAAAACAATCTTCTTCTTACGGTGCCCTATCCTTAAGGACGTTGGCCATTACATTTGCCCATTTAATCTTATTTGTAGCAGCCATGAATAGTTCTATGGAGGTCATGTTCATCCATTGCCGTAGGTTTTTAAGCCAAGAGTTGCGTCTTCTTCCTGGTCTTTTTTTGCCTGGTCCTGATTATAAGTTCGAACAGTTCATACTTTTGATTTCTTATGATGTGAGCAAAATGTTGTGTTTTCCGTTCTTTTATTATAGGCATAAGCTCTCTTTCCTTATTCATCCTCCATAAGACTTCCGCATTTGTCGTATGGCTCATGTAGGATATTCTGAGCATTTTACGGTAACACCAGAGTTCGAATGCTTGGATTCTTTTTTGTGTTGCTTCTGTCATTGTCCAGGCTTCAACACCATAGAGCAAGGTGGAGAAAACATAGCACTTAAGTATTCTAGTTTTCAATGAGATGCCCAGCTGGCGGTTGCATAGAACTTTTTGCATTTTGTAAAACATTGTACGTGCCTTTTCCAGGCGTATTCTTATCTCTAGTGAGTGGTCCCAAGTTTCATCAAGATTACTTCCAAGGTACGTTGTTCTTGTTACTCTTTCCAGACCTGTTCCGTCGACATTGACCTTCACCCTTCTGTTTTGGTGCTTGCTGACGACCATCGTTTTTGTCTTCTTTGTATTCAATTTCATTCCAAATTCTCTAGAGGCTGTCATTACTCGGTCCATTAAGCGTTGCAGGGCTTCAACATTATCTGCCAGTATGACAGTGTCATCAGCATATCGCAGGTTATTTATACATTGCCCGTTTATAATTATACCATCCGAGGTGCCTTCCAAAGCTTTCTGAAATATCTTCACAGAGTAAACATTGAACAGCAAAGGTGATAGGACACATCTTAAGGGACGTCTTACTCCCTTCTCGATATTGATTTTTTCAGATGTTTCGCTTTTTAGTCTGATTTTAGCCTTTTGTTCTTGGTAGAGGTTTGAAATGATCCTTAAGTCTTTATCGTCGATATTACATGACCTTAAAATATCTATTAGTTTATCATGTTTCCCAGGTCAAACGCCTTTTGAAAGTCTATAAAACACAAGTATACATCAGAATCGACATCTCTACATCTTTCAACTAGCACACGTATTGAAAAAAGTGCTTCTCTTTGTCCGAACCCATTCTTAAAACCAAACTGAGTTTGACCAGTGTGTTCGTCTAGTTTATTGTATACTCTATTGTGTATTACTCGTAGGAAAAGTTTTAATATATGATTCATCAGGCTAATAATCCTATGGTCTTCACATTTCTTGGAGTTTCTCTTCTTTGGTAGTGGTATAAACACCGATGTCAGCCAATCATTTGGTATTATGCCTGTTTCGTATATTTTGTTAAATATATCTTCCATTACTGCGATGTAATAACAATAAAATATAAAAAATGTTAATAGAACGCTGGAAACGATGTCATGTAAATTAAAAAAATTGAGTTACAATGTTACTCAAATAGTTATCGTAATTAAGACAGACTATAAAATAAAAAATCAATCTTCAAATTTTCTAATAAATTATTCATGACTATAACTTAATTTAAACTAATAATATTTATGCAGAGTCAATTTTTTATCTTGTTAAATAATCTTTATCAGTCCGGTTATCGTACTGACACCGCTTGGCGAACATTACGTAAGCTCCCAGTGTACGGTGGCCTTCTCATATTGCGGGACACTGACACCTTCGACACTGACCTCTAGCAACTTTCGATGCTGAGCTAATTTTTTTCCGATCTAAAATTGCAGGCAATATCTTTCAGTTCATTTCTTTTCTCTTGTTGTGGTTATATATCACGGTCAATGTCTAGCTGATAATTTAGTGTGGTGAGTTAGCGGTATCATTGGCGTGCACATTAATTGGTTGGTTTTTTTATTACGATATTTACAAGAAGGTTTTTAGTATAAAATTGTTATTGCATTTTATGCATCAAATGTTAGGAAAAATTTTCAGCGGTTAGTACAATTATTAATAGCAATAATATTAATCTAAAGCTTTAATGAATATTATTGCAAAATTGAATGTCAAACTCACCTGGTTTCCGTGATCCTATAAAAATTAATAATAAAATAAAAAAAATAATAAAAACGTTTATTGTTTTAATGTATGTTTATTTCACACTTAAGATAATATATTTTAACCTAAGATATCAAAGCCTTCTTTTTTGTACTTCTTATGTACCGCCCACTGGTTTAACTAGTTCCTCTCGGACCTTGAATTTTTCTGTGATGAACTTCTTGGCTTCTTTTCCTATAGGTACGTGTTTTCGGCATTGTATCTACTTTCCTTATTGGCTGTCTTTGGCAACCATCCGGCTAGACCCTGGTCATATGGTCGATCAGTCTGTATTTTGATCTGTAAAGCATCTGGATCTGACTCTTGGTCTTTAGGAGTCTTCTTGTGGCTTGGTGAAAGAAGTATCTTGTCCTATTTTCAGCCACCTCCCTTAGTGGTATATACTGAAGCATTTCTTTCATGGTTGCACTTGTTATTCTTTCTACCCATGTTGATCCATCGATGATCCTGTAGCCTGACTTTTCTGTAGCTTCTAGCTTCTTCTTGTTGGTTTCCGAGGTGAAGCTCTATACTGGAACAGCGTACAATATTACCGATCTAACGTAGGCCTGGTAACTGGCTCTTCTTAGACTTCGTTTGTGGACAGGACCTAAAAATATAAGGAAGTATTACTTTATTTGCCATATTTGCTTTAACCTTGATTTTTTGCATGTTCTTTGAGTTTCCTATCGAGATGGACTCTGAGGTTCTTGATCTCTCTCTCATCTCTCTCTCATCTCTCTCTCATCTCTCTCTCATCTCTCTCTCATCTCTCTCTCATCTCTCTCTCTCTCTCTCTCATCTCTCTCTCTCTCTCTCTCTCTCTCTCCCTCTCTCCCTCTCCCCCCCCTCTCTCTCTCCCTCCAATGGCGCTACAGCCCAAATCGAGCCGTGGCCTACTCCAAACTATGCCTTCAACCTTGCCAGTCTTGCGCCGATTGTCCCCAGGTTCTCACGTCTAGCAAATTTTCCGCATCCGCAGCCACTTCATCCTCTCACCTTTTCCGTGGCCTTCCTTTTCGTCTTGCGACGCGACTTGCGTTTCGCTATATAGTGCTCTTTTTTACAATCTTTCAGTCTCCATTCTCACTACATGACCAGCCCATCGAAGTCTCTGAAGTTTTACGAATTCTGAGATCGG